TGTGCCTCAGTATGGCCGCCATGGCGACGGCGTCGCCGAAGGTGCACGAGGAGACGATGACGTTGATCTGGGACCGGTGAGGCCCGCCGATCTCCTTCACCAGCACCTCGAGCTGTGGCAAACTGGTGACCTCGAAGGCGGTGGTCGCCATTGCGATGGCGGAGGAGGGATGGGTTTAGGGTTTTAGCAGATCGGAAGAGGGAGGAGGGGGGGAGGGGGGGGATTGCGTGCGGATTGCGGCGGTTTGGAAAGGGGGGGTGTTATAGCGAGGGGCGGAAGGGGAGCGAGCGCGAAATTCAAAATTTCCGAAGGCGCGGTCTCCATATACCAAAATGGATTTGTGCCGAGGCTTGCGGGAGACGAGCAGCTCGGCTGGGCCCGAGAGAGGAGGAGAAAGGAATTAGAGCAAGGTTAATACAGCATATTTGTTGGCTATAAGTCTTTTTTTTAGCTTTTTTTACCCACACATACAATAATTAGCTATTACAATTAATATAGAGCCTACTTGTCTCTCTCACAGAATTTTTTGGTTCTTTTGTTCAAGCCGGTTGTAAGTTTACATCCCGTTTCTCCTCTCTCTCTCTCTCTTCTCTTCTCTCTTTCACCTTAGGGTCCCTTTGAATCGTAGGAATGAAAAAACAGAGGAATAGGAAAAACACAGGATTCTGACAGGAATACAATTGTAAAACAGAGGATTGCAAAACACAGGAAAAACACAGGAATGGCCGTTTGATTGGACCACAGGAAAAACGCAGGAATCAGATGAGAGAGATAGACTCAGAGGAAATGTTCCAAGAGGTTAGACCTCTTGCTAACTTTCCTCCAAAATGTGCATAGGATTACCCATTCCATAGGAATTTTAAAGGATTGGATAGGATTCAATCCTTTGTCTCAAAGGCCTTCATAGGATTTTTTTCCATAGGATTGAAATCCTCCAAAATTCCTACATTTTTCCTACAAATCAAAGGGGCCCTTAGCATTTAGTCGACTTACAGCCTACTATTATACTTTCTCTTATAGGGGTGTGTTTGGCGCCTCTTTCCCATCCCTTTTCCTCGTTTTCCGTGCGCACGCTTTTCAAATTGTTAAACGATGCGTTTTTTTTTAAAAAAAAATATGAAAGTTGCTTAAAAAATCAAATTAATCTATTTTCGAAAAAAAATAGCTAATACTTAATTAATCACGTGCTAATGGACCGCTCTATTTTCCGTGAGTACTTTTTTCGAATGGGAACATCAAATGGCGAACACATGTGTTCTTTCATATGTTTCCCAACCCCTCTCGCTCATGTTCCGTGTGCACGCTTTTCAAACTGCTAAACGGTGCGTTTTTTTACAAAAACTTTCTATACGAAAGTTGCTTAAAAAATCATAATGATCTATTTTTGAAAAAAAAGCTAATACTTAATTAATCACACGTTAATGAACCGCTCCGTTTTCGAGGATTTGGTTCCTAGCTCAGGAGAACAAACGCAATCTAAGTCCACTTTGAATCCCTCAATATATGTCCAAATTTTATTCGCGGAGAGGAAGGGCGGTGGCCGGCCGGCAGAACAGCCGGTGAATCCATCCTTCCCTCCATTTCTTTGCTAGCTTCCGCCATTGTTTCTTGGATTTTTCCCCCTTTTCATTTCTGCAGCTCACACCCGCTCAAATTCTTCACAATCCGTAAAGTGTGTGTGAATTCTTGCATATTAGATGCTGAATTGCTACTAATAGCCTGCGTCGACTCGTAAATTTATGTTTTTTTTTTGGAACAGATGGGCCGTGGCCGCAGTACAGCTATGGGATGGTCATCCTGCTGCAGGCCAACCACATTCTACGTTAACAAGGTGCCAACCACCCATCTTATATAGGGGTGGCCATTTGGTCTAACCGAAAATTTTGGTTTTGATCTTCGTTTTTTTCCATTTCGGTCTTTGAAAAGTGAAACTGAATTTCAACAAAAAATGTCAGCACCGACAAATTCGGTCTCGGTCTAGGTCCTGACCGAAATACAGCAACATTTTCATAAATGCAAAGAAATAATGGAAATTTTCAACACGAAAATCACAAAAAAAATCATAAGCACGTATGAGTAAATACTCTTATTAGTTGTATGTCTAAAAGAAGTAGGATGTGAAAATTAGAGTTTAATCCTATTGAACTTAGTATATTGTAGGTTGCATTTAGATTTTTTTTTAATTCGGTCTTTTCGGTTAACCGAGGAGACTAACCGAATTGACCGAACAAAATTCAATCTTTCACTGCCTACGACTGAATTAATGACCGAATTTATCAGTCTTAGTCTTTTCGGTTCGGTCTTTTTCTGCCCACCCTAGATCTTATCTTTAGAATTGGATATTGGGATGTGGTCATTTTCTCCCAATTTTCTAGCTTCTTGCTGCAAGATTGGCATACCAATTTGGTTGTGTAATTAGGGTGTGTTTAGTTCACGTCAAAATTGAAAGTTTGATTGAAATTAAAACGATGTGACGGAAAATTTGGAAGTTTGTGTGTGGCCGGTGTAGTTCCCAACTTTTTCTTCAAACTTCAACTTTTCCATCACATCAAAATTTTCCTACACACATAAACTTCCAACTTTTCCGTCACATCGTTCCAGTTTTAATTTTAGAGTGAATTAAACACACCCATGTAGAAAAGTTTTGATGTGATAAAAAAGTTAAAAGTTTGAAAAAAATATTAGGAACTAAACCATGCTTTATCTGGTTTTACCTTGTGACAGATCTCGAGATTGAAGACGATACTCGAGAGTACTGGCCGTCCTTGTACTGCGGCTCTTTCTCGACCTGCTTTGGTGGGAAAAGATCTGTTGAGATGGACGCTCTGTTCCAAAACCTGCTCCTCCTCCCTCAAATTTAGGGTGTGTTTAGTTCACGCTAAAATTAAAAGTTTGGTTGAAATTGGAACGATATGGTGGAAAAGTTGGAAGTTTGTGTGTGTAGAAAAATTTTGATGTGATGGAAAAGTTGAAAGTTTGAAGAAAATGTTTAGAACTAAACTAGGCCTTACACAATTACACCTACCCCTCAAATTCCAAATCCGGTTGAGAACAGCCGGCAAAACTTGGAGGAGGGGGCAAGGTGGCAGACCCCAAGGGCGACCTCGCCGCCACCGACAAGGACCGGGCCTCCTCTGAGAAGAACCGCCGCCGTCATCACCGTGTCGTCTCCTTCGCCCCCGCTGGTAACCGCAATGCAGACCCTCTTTGACACCAGCAGGGAGGTCTTCCAGGATTCATTGCCGGGCTTCGTGCCGCCGCCCTAAACCGTTGCGCTACTCGCTGCCCTTCTCCTTCTACGCGCGCACTTGCCGGCCAGCGAGGGAGATCGAGGAGGAAGGAAGGATGGCTGGCAGGCCGAGGGAGATCCAATGCAGTTATACTAGAGACTGCAACTTAAGCAGTTGGAATTATTTTTCATCGTCGGATCGAAATGATCAACGGTTGTAATCTGTGCCACGTCAGTTCTAAACAGTAATGCTACAGTGCTCGCTACAGGAGACATCCAGCTACAGTGTTTTGCCAAATAGTGCCTAGGAAAATCTTGACGGCTACTTTCCAATCCAACGATGCCTATGTGACCGCTTAATATAGCCACTGCAGGTGATCTCAATTCCAGGCCGGGACCGGAGAGAGAGAAGAGGAGGCGCCGACGCACCGTGGTGGAGATAGAGAGCAGGGTAGGACCCACTGATATGTGGGTCCCACTATTTTTTAGTTTTATATGACTGACATGTGGGCCCACATTCTTTTAATTTATATATTTTATTTCAAGTGCCACATCACCGCCACGTAGAATGATGACCAAGTCAAACCAGCCATGTAGACGTCACGTCTACCAAAACCGCTATCCAAACTACCATGTATTTCTTTTGCACCAGTTTTGATAGTTGAAGGACCCATTGTATCTGGTATTGCGGTTCAAAGATAAAAATTGAATTTGCTGTCAAGTTAAGGGATCTCAAATGAACTTATTTCAACCGCAATACCACATATCCCGACCCCTCAACTAATAAAACCGATACAATTGAACTCCTTAAATGGTGAGATTGGTTTTCGTAAACGTGGCACGTTGACTTGGTCAATCTATGCTAGTCACCAAAATAAAAGTGAGCCCCGTATAGCTAGGTGTGTTTAGTTCCCGAAAAAAGTTGAAAGTTTAAAGAAAGTTGGGAGTTTGGAAAAAAAAGTTGAAAGTCTATGTGTATAGGAAAATTTTTGATGTGATATGATGTGATGGAAAGTTGGGAACAGATGAAAAACTAAACATGGCCCTAAGTGACTAGGGAAAAACGTAAAGCCCACTTGTCAGTCCCCTTCTCTCCTCTCTATTTTTTTCCCTAACAACTCCACGCTCGGCGCAACTCACGTCTCACCTCGTTGGCCTTGCACTGGCATTGCCGCAGCCGGAGAAGAGGGAGGGTCTGTTGCAGCACTGGACGACGTAGTTGGCGGGCAAAAAACCGAATGCTATAGCAACGACACGAAGCAGAAGAGCGGACGCGTCCGCGCGTGCAAGGAGGCGTGAGGTGGGCAATTGGTCATTGGGGGCCGATCGTCTTGCCATGGCAGGCGAACATGGCCGCTGCTGCCATGTGAGGGAGTGCACTGTGGAGAGAAAATGGAGGTACCGAGTATGAGGATGATATATGGGACCTGCTTTAGTTTTGTTGCCACGTAAACGCTTAGTTAGTATGAGTGAATCAGATTAACTTTGCTATGTCAGTGAAACTAATCACCTATACTATCGGAGAACCTAATTTAACCTAGCTTTGTATATGTTGGGGAGTTAAAGATTTGTAGTATACGGTTTAGAGATGTATTTTAAACTCGACGTCAACACTAGTGATCTAAATTGTAGTACTACTAGTACTTATCACTAGTGATCCCATCGGTTTATGCAGCATCGCGCTTCTGCCGCTGCCCGACCCTATTACCCAAGCCCATCATAGCCCAAAAAACCCAGAACAACATCTCCTGGACGGCCCATGCCCGACTGGCTTAGGGTTTGGTACTTGTGTCCTGCCTCCACATCAGCTTCAGAGACCGCGCCGGCGCCGGGATGTATTCCTCACCTCCCAAGGGTTTAAAGCGGCGCAGTCGATTTCTCGCTCGTTCGATCCGAGCGGGGTATCGTCGTGGTTATGGGGAAGCTGCTGGACCTGAAGCGGCTCATGTCCGTGCCGAAGGAGCGGAATCGTCGTCGGCGGCAGCGGCAAATCCGAGCCCGCAGTAAGGCCTCCCTCAGTCGTTCTGCCTCTCTAGTCTGGCATCTGTAATTTGTTTAGAATATCACTGCTCCTTCCATTGTCTTGTGCCGTTGCACAGCACTCGGCATCGCTATTTTGCAATTGGGATGCTTTTCAGCAATTTTTTAGTGTTGTTTACAGTTTATTTTTCGGCATACAGATTATTTTGGATTTAACTAAACCAATGAGCTGGATACATTAATGTTCATTTCGATTGTCAGCATCCACTAAAAACATAGACTTCGGTATCCAAAGATAACATGGAAGCCCATGCATAGTTTCGGCAGTATAGGGGTAAATATCGGGTAAACGAGTGCAAATGTGCAATGTCTCAACTGGGTAGAACATATGAAGTGCCCATATGTACATACCCTAAATCTTAAGAAAATTTGGTCGGCCGCTTCTTTGGTCAGCCCAGCCAAAAAGAAAAAAAAAAGAAAAAGAAGGAAGAAGTAGTGCGTGCCCATAAAACTATATTGCTTCCAATATAAGCAGGACCCCTCTAACCTATCGTCTAAAGAGGTGTAAAACAAAATATGGTAGACTTGCAGTATTTTCCTGTTGCAAAAGGAGATCACTCCCTGCTTTGAAAGCAAATAAGGTTTTCGGCATAGAAGCAACTACTGGGAACACCGGCTTACATAGAGAGCTCAAACAACGTTCTCACCCTAGCCAATGGACAGCAGTCCAAAAACAAAGAGGAAAATAACTAAAATGGTAAACTAAAAGACAAGTGAGCTGAAAAGCAAGTTTAGATCTTGGTTATGAACTCATCCATTTTAGTTATCTCCTCTGGTCTGAACAACACCCACCAGAACTACACGAAGAAAAGATTTATCAACTACGGGACTGTCTGGAAGCACTATCTGCTGAGGCGCCGTGGCCGCGCTTTGCTGCAGCAACAGCGGCTGCAGAAGCCAATAGAAAGCACGCTGTTCCCACAATAGATTATTTTTTTAGGGAATACGCTAGAAGCATATCTTTGTATTAAGAGGAATAAAAATTATTTACAAGAAAGATTGAAGGGGACGGGGTACTGGAATGCAACAAGGACTTAGGCTACAATCTCACAACCAAATTGAACGACCTAGGGACCCTAGAAACTAGAGACCAAGCGCCGGAATCGCCGCCTTTGCCAGGCACCACAGCTCTGCCTCCGCGGCCATAGCTCTTGCAATTTCCGCCCAGGGCTGCCGCTGGAGATTGAACACCAGGTTATTCCTCTCTTTCCAGATCATCCATGCTACCAAGGTCGCAATGGTGTCGAATCCCCGACACCGATCCTTCACGACTTTCTTCCTGCTAAGGCAGAGCCACTGATGGAAGGAGGCCTCTTGCAGGGGTAGGCAATCCAGTTGATTGATTGCCGAGAGTGCCCACCACCAGAGTTGACGGGATTCAGAGCAGCCAACCAAGATGTGATCTATACAATAGATTATTTTATACAGCAGAAATTCAACGTTGCAGCCGAACGGCTGTGCAGTTCAGCTGCAGCCCAAACCGCTGCAGTTTAGGTCTTCCAACGGTCAATATGTCAGCTGAGGAAGTTATTAGCAATTTCTAATAAGCCAAGAAAGCTGTAAACAGTACAGGATCAAAGAATATAATGATCCACACCCCCAGTTCAACCAAGAAGCTAAGAATTCAGAAATATTTGTAGGAATATTCAATTTTGTGCCATGGTAACGCCTCTTTCAAACAGCACCAAGAGCAACGAGCAATGTGACATTGAAAGAAAACATGGTACACACTTTCTACGCAATTGCATTGGATGCAATTAACATCCCCTTTCCAATTTTTTTTCTTCAGCTGTAGATCTATCTTGATAAAGAAGCCAAACGGAGATTTTTACTTCGAGAGGAATTTCGCATTTCCACAATCTGCACATCCTCCAACTGATGACACCCCAGAGAATGATCCTATCATATAAAGACAAGGCTTAGTTATTTTCAGATTATTTACCTGATTGTTGAAACGGATTATTTGCCCCACGCTTCGAAAAATACATTTTCTCGAAAAACTTTCTTCTCTTGTATTGCTTCGACCACTTTTTTAAAGTTATTTGTTAAGTTTATTTATCAGAATATTTAATTTATCCCTATAATCAAGTAGATAATCCTCATCAATAATCTGTTTCAAAATGACCTTAGTGGTGTAGACTTGCTCTTTTTTTTTCATAATAAGAACCAATGCTCAAGGGAAGTTTTTTTAATGGAGACAAATTGGATTTAAAGTCACTAGAGTTTTTTTTTTCAAAAAAATCAGACAAAAGGTAACCAAATTGATTTGTGGTGTGCACTTGTGTGCTTGATTTAATTGTTTGCTTGTATTTGTGTCTGTACATAACCATGCATGATCTATTGTAGATGGTTCAATTGATTCAGTGGCTAAAAGAAAGGGATCACTCTGCCAACAAGTTGCAAATTCTGATGGCGAGAGAAGAACAAGATATTCAGGGCCTAACCTTCCAGAGGTATGACACCAAATGCTGATAATGAAGCTCTTATATTAGAGTAAGGTATCTACGAGTCTATGACTGCTATAAGTAGCCTCTAACTGCGCACTCTCGTGGTCCTATGGTACCTATATCAAATTGTATGAACAGGTCTTTAGTGCTGCAATTTTCTACAGTTCTGCATGAATAGCTTTTCTCTATTCTAGCTGTTACAACTTAACCACTCCCATAGAAAATTGTCTGTGATGGGTCTTAGATCCCCTTGATCCTTGTTGAAGCAGTTGAATTTTTAGAGCTTCCCTCCCTTATAATCTGGTTCCGGTACTTGTTTTTCTGTGTATTCTGTGGTCTAAGATCCAGTTTTTCGTCATCATCCATCAAGTGCATGCCTACCTGGTTGAGTTTAACCAACTTCCGAAGCTACTAGCTAGTCAAATACGCTGGTATCTATGAAGGGGCCTTCTATTGCTTTTCAGGTCAATATGCATTCCATTATTATTTGTTCACTCTTGCTACTCCCATATTCTGAGTGCTCATGTCTACTGATAATGTGGTTACTGTTTCCGTTTCATCCAACTCCTTCTCATCTTCAAAGAAAATTATATAGTAAATATAGTTAATCTTAACCTGTTAACCGTAATCTAAACTGTTTGTACCATCAATTCATAAACCACGGAGATATGTGAATGTGATGTTGAATAACCTTTGCAGATAGAGTAGACCAATACAGTAGCAGCTCCATCATAGTTTCACTCCAATCAGTAACTGTATTTTTTTTCTCAAGCATAAGAATTCTGAGATCATCTTTGGCTCCAATGCATGATAAGCTTTACTTTAACCACTATTAGGTCACTTGCAAGCACTTGCCTTCATACTGGCCCTTGCTTCCTATGAAGGTACAATCTAATAATATTAGTTGGTTTGTAGGTTAGCTATAATCCAAACCTGGCAAGGCACCAAACAAGTTCTATTTTCCTTTATTTTCGAACAACGCAGGAGAGCTGCATGCCATTCCATTAAGTAGAAGGAAAGAAATACAAAGTTAGGACAAGCCAACGTAGCAAGTCCCATTAAGTCCATTTTCCTCAAAGTAACAGCTTTACTCAACTTCTTATTTCCTTTAGTGCAAGAATCAATTTTTGCTGGGGATTCCTCTGGTTGTCTTTTAACTGTAGTATTGCAGGATTACCAGGGGTATGTCCTCTCATTAGTAAATCACAGAGTTACTATTGGCAACTTGGAAGTGATGAGGACTGCCTATAGACTTCTGAGGTTGGTCACTGCTGGTAACCCAGAGTTAGATTTGGCATGAACCTTTGTCATTGTATCGCATCACCCTTCTTCCTCTTCCACCAGGCAGATTTCTGAGTTCATAACAACAACAACAACAACAACAACAATATTTAGCATGCCATGTTCTACATCAATAACTGCAGGTGATGGGTGATTTCCTGCCACGTCCTTGGCTGAAACCATAATACTTTGCTGTCTGTGCCTCTGTGGCCCATCTTGCAATGGGTATTGAGATTCTGGACAACAGGTCTATTAGAAGATGGTTGACAACATACATGATTATACTAGGAGAGCGAGAAAGCTTTGAAGTAACCATGCCAATTGCGTTTGCTTCACAGTTCATGTAGAGTGGTTTCACTGTTTCACCCTAATTTCAGTATAAATTGTGGGAGAAGGGCATATTGTTGTAGGATGCATTCTTGTATCTGGTCTGTTGAGTCTATTTTCTCTTACAGCCCAGCCGTCAAAGCTATAGAAAATTGTACCTTATAAATAATATACATGTTTATTTTTATTTGTTTTCTACTTTGACTAATCTATAGGATGCTTTTGTGCAAAAATGAACATATTAGTTTATGCATATGCGCATAGACCTTTATTGGTTGTGTAGCTTAACTCAGTAAGAATAGGTCTCATATTTAGGTAATCATTACTAGTCACTGACTGCAGTCCAGTACCCCTTTTAGGACAGCCACTAATAAAACTTTGAAAGGGAAAAGGATAAAAATGAAAATGTGCTGTTCAGTTTCCCTACCACAAACCCGAAGGGTTATGGCAAAGCTACTAGTACTGTTTTCCCTTCCAATTGATCAAGCTGTCACCTTGACGGTATTTTCTAACCTATATCCTTGCTTCTGCATGCAGGACATCTGGTGCCATATACACTCCCTGATGCCATTCAAAGATGCTGCCCGTGCTGCATGTGTGTCTCATGCTTTTCGTCGTTCCTGGCAACACCGCCCCAATCTTATATTTTGTATTGGAACACTGGGGTTGGATTTCATCAACAAAATTGATCGTATTATAAAAAACCACTCAGGCATTGGCATCAAATCGCTACAGTTAGAATATGATACTTTTTGCAATGCTAGAAGGAGCGCTAGCATCAGCTATCATCTCAATAATTGGCTTCAGATTGCTGTTACACCATGGATTGAAGAACTAATCCTTACACTGTCGCTATCTTCATACAATGTGGATTACAATTTCCCGTGCTCACTTTTATCTGATGGGAGAGGAAGTTCATTGCGACATCTTTATCTTGGCAGTTGTTTCTTTCATCCTACAGTTAATCTTGAATTGAGAAACCTGACGAGGTTGCATCTGGTTACTGTACATATTACAGGAGATGAGTTTGGGTGCCTTCTTTCGAATTCTTATGCTTTGGAGCGATTGGAACTTAAATATTGTTATGGAATAATTTGTCTGAAGATACCTTGCCTGTTGCAACGCCTTAGCCACCTGGAAGTGTTTGAATGCAGAATGCTGCAAGCCATAGAGAATAAGGCTCCAAATCTTTGCAGTTTTGACCTTGGAGCTAGGCAGGTACGGCTCTTGCTTGGTGAATCATTGCAAATGAAAACACTATCCTTGGACTATCCTAGTGCCGTCTATTATGCTCGTGCAGAGCTTCCATCCAATGTGCCAAATCTTGAAATTCTCACCATTTGCTCGGATCACGAGGTATATCCACAAACATGAAATGATTATGGACGTGCTTATGTTTATATAACAATACTTGCACCTTCGAAAAATGTCATCAGTCTGATTTTCTTTATGCAGATGGTTGATACACCAATGTTGCCTAGCAAATTTTTCTATCTCAAGTGCTTGACTATTGATCTTGCTTGGAGACTTTCCCCAGCCTATGATTATTTCTCTCTGATTTCTTTTCTTGACGCTTCTCCTTCCTTGGAGACTTTTTGTCTAGAGGTAAGCTAATTTTCACTCTGCAAACTTATCAGTGACTGGTGACAACCATCAATTTCAAGTATATTGGCTTTTCATCTCTAGATATCACAGGACCGAATGGAGAATGAATTGATTATTGGAGATATGTCACATATGAGGCAAATGCTAGAACACCGTCATGACAACCTCCAGAGCGTGGAGATTATTGGCTTTTGCTATACAAAGAGCTTGATCGAGCTAACATGTCATATTCTTGACAATACAACGTCGCTTAAGCACCTTAAACTGGATACTACTCGTGATGTTTTTAGCTGTTCTACAGGCAAACACGACAAATGCTTCCATATGGGTAAGGATATGCTCACCGAAGCCAAGAAAGCAGTTTTGGCAATTGAAACTTACATCGAGCCAAAAGTTCCCTCCACTGTCATGCTAAATGTTGTGAAACCTTGCAACCGTTGCCATGTTGCTGAATCTTAGTTCTATTTTTTTCCTAACATAATTCCTATGTAGATGATTATGGAGTTTTTTAACTGATCATGTTTTCTGTCTTCACACAACTGAATTACGAGTCACATCCAATTGAATTATGAGTCACATCTGTTCGATCTCTTTTTTCCCAATTCAGTGAAAAGGATCTCAACGTACTTTACAATTATTCTTATGTGAAGTCGCGTGATTAATTTGACTCTTCATGGAATGAGAAGAAGTGTCTTCTTCACAGAACCAATCTGAGATGCTGCACAATGCTTATATTGTATCAATCAACAATCTAGAGTTTTAGACTACTGACATTACCAAATTTTATGAACAGATATTGCATCTTAAAACGCCACACCAAATTAACAAGCTACATCATATTAATAACACTCAGATACATCTCAAAACGCTACACCAAATTTTCACCAGATTAACAAGCCACATCATATTAATAAAAAATTATCACCAAATTAACAAGCCACATCATATTAATAACAGTTTATGAACAGATACATCTCAAAGCGCGAGTGATATTAATAACAGTTTATGAACAGATACATCTCAAAGCCGAGTGTTATGAATAGATATCTATCTCAAAACACGCCAAATTTCACAAGCCACACCATATTAATAGTGTTATGAATAGATATCTATCTCAAAACACGCCAAATCTCACAAAGCCACACCATATTAATAACACGAACAGATACACCATATTAATAACACGAACAGATGCATGGAGTGTTATGAACAGACACATCTTAAAAGGCCACACCAAAATTTATGAACAAATATTGCATCTCAAATTTTGCACTAACACACACTTTATGAACAAATATTGCATCTCGAAATGTCACACCGATTTTTTTATGAACAGATATTGTATCTCAAAATGCCACACCAATTTATTTATGAACAGATATTGCATGGGAAGCAAAACTCAACAGAAAAACTACGATCCAGAGGAGTAAAGTGAATGCCAGAGAGGGATCGAGAGCCTCTACATAGAGGAGTAAACTGAGAGGGATAAAAAAAACTGCGATCCAGAGGAGTAAACTGAATGCCAGACAGGGATCGAGAGCCTACGATCGAGAGGCGAGAGGCAATTGGCGTGAACTGAATGAGACGTACGTACTTGAACCGGGAGGTGGAGGGGATGGGGCTGGGGGATTCTCGGCGCCCTCGCCGTCTAGCCTCACGGACTTGAACCGGGAGCTGGAGGATGTTTCTGATGAGGGCGATCGCTTGCTCCAAGTCTGATCCTATTGTAGGTGGCAGATGGTCCGCGGCGAGAACTGCGTTGGAAATTTGGCGCAGGAGTCGCCGAAGCTCACGAACTCGTGCCATCACGGTGCCTCCTCCCTGGCGAGCAAGTGTCTCGGCGCGGATCGAATTGTTAAGAAGGGTGTTCACCGCGGTGGCAGTTGCTTCCTCCAGCCTGGACTTGAGAGTGGTCGCAGACATCTCCCTCGACCAATGCGCACGAGGATTTGAGGCAGGAACTCGGTCGATCAGGTCTTGAGCGAGTACCTGCACGGAGAGTGATCCCCTGACCTGGAACCCCTCTAACGCCAGTAGCATCTCTCGGCGTTGATCGAGGTTGCAGAGGTGAATCAGCAACTGGGGAATGTTCACCCACTTCATCAGTTGGAGTAACCCAACGAGCTCGGAGAGATCGCTCATGGGCTGGATGTTCCGTACTTTCCACCCGTAGCCGGCGGTCGATGACAAGTCATGGAGGATGTCGAATACGGCGGGCGCGTCTCGAAGTGCCTCGAGGGAGCGTACGTCGACGTGGCGCTGCCCAACCGCGTCCCGCACCATAGTCCGCAGCTCGTCCATGTTGTAGACGAGTTTCGCTTTCATCCGCACCATGGCGTCGGCGTGGCGCGGCGGGCACCGTGGCGCGGCGGAGACGGCGTGGCGTGGCGCGGCGCGGCGGGCACGGCGTGCGGCGGAGACGGCGTGGCGCGGCGGAGACGGCGCGGCGCGGCGGAGACGGCGTCGCGCGGCGGTGGAGAGTGGTGGGAGGAGGGAGACGGGGTGGCGTGGTGATGGTCGGGGACGCGAGCAGGGTGGCGCGTGGTGGAGACGCCCTGCGTCCCAGGTGGGACGGGCAGCGTGGATGGTGGGAGGCAGAGGCGAGGTGGGAGATGATGAGAGGGAGGGGGAGAGGGGTACGTCTATTTATAGCTGTAGGCTTAAGCTTGTGCAGGAAAATTGTCTTCTGCCATTAGCACGTTGATGTGCCAGTGCGCAATTAAACTTAACGACTATCACAAGTTAATTTCCTCATCAAAACAAAATCATTCGGGTAACTAGTACTCCAACTAGTACAGTTACTACACTCTCCCTCTCCCCTCCCCCCTCCGCCCGCGTACACGCGCGAGAGACGAAATGGTTGCTTGTCGCCTCTATTTCGCGTTGCGATTGCTGGTATGCGTGCGTGCTGATCGGAGCGGGTGATTGCGATGCAGGTGATGGCTCAGAACACGAAGGAGGCGGACATCACGGAGCAGGATTCGCTGCTTCTGATGAGTTTTTTTCCTCGCCCATCTCCTGTTGGATTCCCGTGCGACTTAGTGGTTCAAGCCGGCCATCGGATCTGTTCACCCGATCGAGTTTTTTTTCTTTTGCTGTGGATTTGATCGCTCGTGTGGTGTTTGCAGTAGCTGGCGTCCGATTTGGGTTTGATTCGAGTGTTTGTGATCACGCGTGTCGGATCCCCCGCGCACTTTGCGAGTGCTTTTGTGCGGATTTCGCTTATGCTTTGTTGATTTTAACCGATTTCTCGTGCGGATTTTGGCGTGTTTGGAGATAATCGTGGGGTTTGGGGTTTTTCACTTTCTCTAGTAGTCTCCGTCTCCGTCCGCTCACTACCAAATGGTGCTAGTTGGGCCAGTGCGAAGCATCAGTAGCGTCTCACTTTGCGAGTGTTTTTGGGTGGATTTCATTGACATTTTGCTGATTTTAACCGATTTCTCGTGCGGATTTAGGCATGTTTTGGAGCATGAGTCCTGGGATTTTTGTTTCACTTTCTCTGGTGCTCTCCGCCCGTTCAATACCAAATGGTTATAGTTGAGCCAGTTCAAAAGCTTCTGGGTATCTCAGATTTGAGTTGGTTTCTAGTTTCCCCGTGTAGCATTGTCTCTTGAATGCGTAACTGTTGGGCCGTTTCGGTTTCGCACTGGATGATGATTGTGTGGTTTTTCTCCGTGCTGCTTGATCGATGTGAGTTTTGTTTCTCTGATTTGAGGCACCTAATCTGTTCTCGTGAAAAATCTCTGGTTTGTTTGCTCAATTTCGCGGATATTTTGAGCGGAATTTCTACTGGTTTGTGCGATTCTCTGCATGAATTTTGTTGAACGGATCACATCGCTTTGTTTTGCTACTCGCGTGGTGATTTGGTTGGGATTTCAAGGAGGCATTCGCTGGTTTGATAATCGCGTTTCGATTTGGTTTCGTTGTGAAAGCCACAGGCATCGGCCTGATGATTTGTGCGTAGATCATCGTGCTGGAAAAGTAGGCGCATAGTCTCCGCGGTCTGCGTAGTTGATCAAATTGGCAGGATTGGAAGTTTTTTTTCCCCTGGCTTCGATATCCTTGCGAAGAATTTCGAGTTCCAGTCGTGTTGTTTCGAACTGTTTCGCCAGAAGCATCTAGGAATTGTTCAGTTCGTTGAACTCTCATGTGCGTTTGGTATCTCTTCTAAAGTTTTTGGGAGCAGCAGGTTCAGGGAGTAACTTCATTTTGCTTCCGAAATGCTTGCTTTGAACATGTAGTCGAGACACCACGCGTATTGGCCTGGTTTCTCAGGATTTCCATTTCTGACAGTTGTATGAGTCAGTTTTTTCAAATGTTTCCAGTTGTTGTTTGGGTTTTGAACAAACGTTGCTTACTTTGGTTGGGATTTCGAGGAGACATTCACTAGTTTGATAACCCCGTTTCGTTTTTGTTTCGTTGTGAAACCCACGAGCATTGGCCTGATGATTTATTGATGAGCACTGCTACACGCACTAAATTTTTCTTACTAAACTTTTACTAACAATTATCTCAACCGTGTGATTTAAGTAGATAGAAGTTATAAAAAATCTAGATACACTCATAGTATGACACATGAGTGTTAGTAATAATTTAGTAAGAAAAAAGTTTGTATGTATAGCTTTTCCTTTATTGATTTGTGCGTAGATGCGGTTCACGGAGTCTATCAAATTGGCAGGGCCTAATAAGGCTTTTTCCTTGCTTCCATAGCCTTGCGAAGAGTTTCTACTTCCAGTCGTTTTGAATCGTATTGTTATAAGCGTCTAAAAAATATTCTTTTTTTTATAACAGACAAATTGATTACCAGGCTTTTGGGAGAAAGCCAAAACATACAGTCTGCTTACAGGAAAAAAGATTGGAAAACAGAAAACAGAGAAACTGGGGCTACCAGTACCCATCACGCGCTAGCTTAAAACACCCAAAACCAACAGCAACTGAAACTTAACAGCACCCGGAGACTATAGAGCAGATCTAAAAAACTACAGCCCCACCAACAGCAGCACCTAACTCAGGCAATAACATTGTCCGGCAAAACATCCACAGGACGCAGAGCCTCCATCTTACTCTTCAGCTTCTCAAGCAGTGCGTTCAAAGCCTCGTGATCTTTTTCTCTTAGCAGCACCTTCCATCTCTGCATCAATGAGATTGACTTGAAAACCACCTGCAAAGGTGATTTAACCAATTTATTTTCAAATACTAAGTCATTTCTCACAAGCCGCAAACCCCAGCAAAGACTGGCACAAAGGAAAAGACCTAAATTCACCCCCAGTTTTTCTTTGACAGCTTTTAGACTATCCCAAAAGTTTGTTGGAATTAAAACCCCCTCAATTACTTCAATTACAGAACACCAAACAAATTTAGCTATGACCCAATTTTTCAGTTCGCTGAATTCTTGCTGTGCTTGCTTTTGGTATCTCTTCAGAGGTTTTTTGGCAGCAGCAGATTCCATGAGTAACTTTAGTTTCTCTTTTCAAACTTGTTGCTTGGATGTGGAATTGAGACACCACACGTATTGGTTTGGTTATTCCCAGATTTCCTGTTCTGATAGTTCTATGACCCAATTTTTCTTCTGTTTTTTTAAATGTTTCCAATACACTACTTTGGGTTTGAACAGACATTTGCTTAATCCTGCACTAGTTTGTGATAAGAAAAGCTCCATTTGAATTTGGAATATGCCTTTAGGAATTATATGCCAGCTTATTAAACCTCTCCTGGCATGATTTTTAGACTACCCCTCACTCGCCTCCTATTTTAACATCCGTTTTGTCAGATACTCGGTTTAATAACTGGACATTGGCTTTGCCACATGAGTTGTAGGACTACTGGCTGATCACCAAATTTTGGTACCTCTTGTACTTTCAAAGACCAGTTGGTTTATATCCAATCAGATAATGTTTTTCTTTGTCTTTTCTAGTACTTGTTTGCTCACATGGTCAGCTGCACTTTGCCTAGAATGTTTGCTTAGGATCCCATAACTGCAAGTGCATAGTAGGTGCAATATATCGTATGGTCCATGTTCATTTATGCATTTGTAAGAAATTTATTACAAACTAGCCACTTAGTCGTGCGTTGCACGACTTTGGGTGCCCGTAATGCACAATTATACTTAATTTTAATTTTTTTTCTTTTACAAAATCATACAACTTGATAAACTATTAGTTAGAACTATAGATTCAGCTCAAGCTATATTTTAACTGAAGGTTTAAATATTATGTCTAGGATCAACCTCTTACCGTATACCATCAAAAGATGAGAATGTTTACTCAGCGATATGATGCAAAAGGCATAAAATAGTCAAACCTAATGCAATAGACAGTAGCAAACTAAACGGCAATCTAGTCCATGATTTGAAACCAACACAAATTGCTCAAAGATCATTTGACCTCTGAGTATTTCAAGAAGATAGCATAATAAACATCCCAAAATAAAAATGCACAATTTTCTTATGAAGTGTAGTAAAAAATCCAGAGTCATCACAATTAGTGTAGTTTGTTTGTTTGTGCATTGTTGCCAACCAAAAACCCTTCAGCCCAAAGCCAAGGAGGATTTCTCAACTCTTCTCTATAGGCATGAGAAAGTAGATATGTATGAGACAACTCATTGCAGGAAATTCACTTCAACAAAAACAAGGACTAGAAATAAATAGAAGTTTCTTGAAGGGTCTCTAGGAGGTTTTATCAATTGAAGGATCCAATGGTTCTCAGGGAAGTACTTCTCATGGTGAAAAACTTTAGTATTTTCAGGTACTTTAGATGTGTGTGTTTGAATGAGACTGGTACCCTATTTGATTCAACCTGAGCTAAAGTATTGAAAAGCGTGTCTCATTTGTTGTTTGGTGAACTTTTGTGCCTCACCTTGTTTGGCAAGCCCAAAACCCTCGGCCATCCTCCAGGATGGGCTAGGAAATTGAACTAAAATTTCAGTCCATCCCTGGGGATGGATCAGGATGGAATAAGGCCTAAACTTGTTAATCAGTAATCCAATTTGTGATGATTTTATTGCCCTTCTATTGCTATTACATTGAATACTGAACTCTTTGAGTTATGTATGGCAGAATGCTATAGTGATAACTGATAACATGGTGATATTTTGACCAAACAGACAAGGAATTTGCTCCGTATTGCTAGATACAACATCAGCTACATCAGAGGTCTATTCCCTGAGAAGTACTTCAATGATAAGTCGGTTCCGGCACAAGGTCACATTATCTGTAGTCCCTAACCCTTTTATAGTACCAAATTCCTCAGATGATATGATATTTATTAGCTGAAACACCCTTTTATTTATTGCAGAGATGAAGATTAAGAAGCTAATTCCCATGGATGCTGCGTCGAGGAGGTTGATTAATTGGATGGAAAAAGGTGAAAATATGCCCTGTTTTATGTCTGAAATCTTTTTAATTTTCCAATATGTTCATTTAATCCATATTTGTAATAAATTTTAGGTGTCTATGACGCACTACAAAAGAAATATCTCAAGACCCTTCTCTTCTGCATATGTGAGAAGGAGGAAGGCCCAATGATTGAGGAGTACGCATGTGATTATCACCATGTGTAATATGGCTAACTTCTAGCATACAAAGTTGGTTTTACATCGGTGATTGTGGGTCATATGTCAAACATTTTCTTATTCTGTGCCAAACTCCCCTGCAGTCTCATTTAGCTACCCCAACATGAGCGGTGATGAAGTTGCAATAAACTTGAGCCGCACAGAGAGCAAGAAAAACAGTGCTACATTTAAGCCAAATGCAGCAGAAGTCACTCCTGATCAGATGAGGTTCTCTCATACATATCCCTTTTAAAGGCTATGATTCATTCTAGATCTCTAGTTATAGTTATCCATGCTGCTTAGCTAAATGCTACGATTTAATGGTTAGTTTTTCATGTTGCTTAGCATTATAAATTTTGGGGACTGTTTGTTTAATGAAGTTGCAGTCTCAACATAAAAAGAATTTAAAATTTTATGATTTCAAAGATGGAACAAATTGATGACTAAAAGGAGTTCAGATTTTCTTTTTTTATGTAAGGAATGTGGTGAAAAATTGAGGTACATAGATTCCAGTAACTTTGAAAATTTAGGTACATAGGGACTGTGAGGTAGCAATAAATGATGCAAATCCTTTTTAAAAACATAGTTGGGCTTATAATTCTGAGTCCAACTTTTCTGTTGAAACCTGGGGCTGCAAGGCAAGTTGTTCTTAGTTTTCTTCCATAACTTGCAGAATTCTAGTTCTGAAGGTATGGTTTCAGTTTAGTGCCATCATATATCCTTCTGATAAGCTCATTAATGGTTGTTTATTGATTTTTATATGTGTATGGCAATTGCAAAGTAATTATTGTAAGCTTTTACTAGTCACTGCTGATATCCTGACATGGCCATATGGTTCCTAATCAGGAGCTCTGCTTGTAAGATGATAAGAACACTGGTTTCACTTATGAGGACCTTGGACCAAATTCCAGAGGAGGTAATTTTTTGCACTCTATAGATTTGTTACAATGGATTGAACTTACCTAATGATATCCTGTATTTGTCCTCAGAGGACCATTCTAATGAAGCTGCTATACTACGATGATGTCACAGTGAGTGCAGGACTTTCTTGTTATTTACTGAAACTTCAAGCCGCCATAATAGATAATTATTTTTGCTCTGAACAAGTGAAGGATTCAACCTTTTCTGTTCTATAGAACTTTGTTTGTGGAATCTAAAACAGTTAATTTACTATCCTATTTGCAGCCTGAAGATTATGAGCCACCCTTTTTTAAGTGTTGTGCTAACAACGAGGCCATTAATATATGGAACAAGAACCCCTTGAAGATGGAAGTTGGAAATGTCAATAGCAAGCATCTCGTGTTAGCTTTGAAGGTAGTGTATTATGGAGATAGCAGTCGTTTGGACCAGAAAAAACCCTCTCTGTTTATTTAATTAAACCCATTGATACTCTTTATGCAGGTCAAGAGTGTCCTTGACCCTTGCGATGATAACAATGTCAACAGTGAAGATGATAATATGAGCTTGGATAATGAGTCTGACCAAGATAATGATTTTTCTGACAATGAGGTGACCTAAGAGACCATATAATTGAGCATTTTTGTTAGTGAGATTCTCTTAGTTTGATCCTTAGTGTGCTGTGATGCTACCTTTTTATGCACACATCGATGTATATGCATATTTTTGTTTTCTTTTTACCTAATAGTATAGACTGAATCGCTAATTCTATTAGGTTCGCCCGTCTGAGTGTTACATTGTTGCTCCAAATGGTAAAGTTTCTTTGTTTGTATTCTTGTTGTATTTTCTGTTGTTGGTGCTAACATACTTATCAAAATAGATGGGAATTGCAAAGGTCAAAATAGTACAATCTCAGATGGTCAGTTAATTTGATCTGAGAGCTTCATCTGTGCTTTCTTTTCCATACAAATGAATTTTATGTCAACTATTTGTTGATGTAAAAACACGAGGCCTGGGAGATCTGCTTAACTCCAGTGCAGGTTCAAAACTTGCCTTTGGGTATGCGAGCGTGCCAGTTGATTTGATCCTACAATCAACAAGAAACAAATACAAAGAAACCGCGGTTAAATTCATAAACGATAGCCGATCGGCTAAGTGCCGATGACATATCATTTATCTTTGAGCCGATGTCATATATGCATCGATCGGCAGTCATGACTAAATGAGAAAGAACTAAATCTACTCGATCGGCTGTAGATATTAACAATATATAATCCTCATGTCGATATATACTTAAATCAAGTGATTGGGATAGATCGGTCGCCATGCCGAGACAGTATAAATCACTTAGATCGAAATATATATTAACAACAAAACTATACATGTTCATAGCATAGCCGATCAGATAGATCTAGCATGTATCGGCTAATACTCCGACACCACTCTATATTAAGATATTAAGACAAGTAAAATACATCAAACAGGAGCCTAACATACTTTATTGTAATGAAATCTTAACATAAAGGGCAGATCTAACATATCAATTAAGCACATGAAATATAAAGCTAAATCAGGTGAGATCGGCTGAAACCCCGATACTACCCTAATCGGCAACCAAAAACAGGCTAGAGATTGAGATTCTAATCACGACTTCATAAGATCAAACTCAACTGATGCAGCTATAAGTATGAAAAGAGAAACAATATATAGACAATCAAGCCGTTGGATGTGTCATAGAGTGGTAGATATCTTATATAATCTAAGTCAACGTCAATATTTAACCTAATCGGCTGCTTTCTATTAACAGATGTTAGCCGACTAGAGGTTAGATAATGATATTGCCGGAGATTATGTAAGATATATGATAACTCGACGAATTACATAAACAAGATTAGAGTATCATAAAGATGGAAGCACTAATCCCGAGAACGCAAGCCGCCATAACAGGTTTTACCTCTAGTTGAAGATCGAAACCGATGCAGCTCAACCCGAAAGCAAGAACTCGTCGAAACAAAACGAAAGTAAAAAGAGTGGCGATGCGCCGAGATTGTATTGAACGTGTGTTAGTTTGATTACATGGGGCTCGGGTCTATTTATACCCGAAAATTACAAAATATGTCCATATCGGACACGACTCTTATCTCTAACAAACTCTAAGATACCATAAGTCTTTGCGGCAGACTTTTGCCCAAACATATCTCTAAGGAAATTATATAAAATATCTTAATTAATAGATACAATTGTTTTCTCAGGACTCTATCCATGCGTGGCAATCATCATGAAGCACGTCAACCTAACCCGACAACATATGCCGTGTCATATTGTCAGATTCGATTCAATCGGCTAATCCCGTCCGACTCTAACTCTGCCGATCTCAGTCGTAGCCGATTCGGACTTCAGCCGATTCTCACTTTGTTTCCGGGACGATTTCCATCTCGAATTCCATCTCGATTTCTTCTTTATCTCCGATCCTTGGATTACCAAATTTGGTCATTAACATTATTAAGTTATTCAAATGTTTGGATGCTCATTTAATTTTTTATGAAGTGTGCAATACATGTTCGACATTCTCTGACTTTGTAGTACATGAAAATTTTTTGCCAGGTCAGCCGAAGGAGGCCAACCAATTTCATTAAAATTTGAGAAGAAAAGAGCAAATACAAAGTTGGTTTACATTGGCTAAGAGAGCCGAGCGGGAACAAGCCAAGGGCTTATCCCCAGGAAGGGAGAGGAGGGCAGAGTAACCAGAGGAAGGGTCGCTCTGAACCGAAATAAGAAGCCGACTACTCTCTAATTTCTGCAACTATCCCCGCTTTCTTCCAGCAGATGAACTCCTCTTTGATGTCATCGGCTATTGTAACAGCAGGCTTGAAGCATTGATCGAAAATTCTAGCATTCCTTTCCTTCCAAAGAAACCAACAAACCAAGAATAATAGGCTATCAAAATTGTTCCTGTAGCGCAGCCGACAACAGAGCCTCTCCTGCAGCCACCTGTCAGACAGGTGCAGGGTTTTCTCGCCAGGCGTAGAGAAACTCACATTCATCCAGCTTCTGAGGATTTGCCAAACTGCATCCGTGAAAGGGCAGACGACAAACAGGTAATGGCAGTCTTCGCTGTCCCTTTGGCAAAGTGAGCAGAGGTCGCCGTGAGGCCATCCACGTTTTGCGAGATTGTCCGCCGTTAGGCACCGGTCCTTAAGGGCAATCCATATGAAGAACCTCACTCTCGACGGTAGTACATGAAAATTTCATACATTTCTCTGACTTTTTATGTTTGCAGATGAAACTCAAGATCCTGCTCATGAGGAAGAGCTAACAGCTCAATTAAGAGAGTGGATATGCTCAAGAGACACTGAAAGTCTTGAGGTTTCGGACGTCCTTATTAATTTCCCTGACATATCAATTGTAATGCCTACTGCTATTTCATTTCTATAATAAAATTGCGGTTTAGAGTTTATTTACTGTTTTGTGCTAGACTTACAAGCAGGTCACAAACTTTTACCAACTTTTAGGTCAACAATGTTTATAAATCAAACAGTATCTTGATATAATATAAACTGTATGGCCGGCTGTTAACACTGTCTTGTTGAATGCTTTGCAAGAAATGGCTGAAGGTAATGCTGGGAAAAACTTATGTGTGCTTGCCAGGCATTCTTTCTTCGCTCTCACTAAATCCTTGAAATACTTGACTAATGACTCACTTTTCAGATATTATGGAGAGGTTACTTAAAGACGGTTTATTATCCAGGGCAAAAAATGATAGTTATTCTGTTAATAAGGTCAACCAAACATTTTTTTGTCATGTGCTTTATTTTAATTTTACCCTGTGGCATATTGTACTGTCTATTAGTGACGGAGCCAGAAATTTTCTACGCCTAAAGCTTAAGTAGAGCTCATATTGGCTTTCTCAAAAAAAATACATGGTGATTTAAAAGGATTTAGGCAAGTTTATGGAGGCAAGCCTAGGGCTTAAGCCCAAGCTGTCCTAGGCTTGCCTCCACCCCTGCTGTCCATCACTAAAATCATAGAGTGGTTTCAGATTGCTGATCCTACAACACCACATAAAGAAAGAGGTCATCATGCAAAATGTCTCACCTACTGAAGGAACTAAAAATGGGACCAATTTAGGAAGGACTAGATTGATTTTGAATTAAGGAGGGGGTGTGGCTTGAACCCGGACGGGCTAGCTCGCAGCTTGCGTTGCTAGCTGGGAAGACCCCGGGCCTTTCTCGAAGGAACTAAAAATAGCAATGGTGATCTCATGTATATGAAGGTGTATCTCTGTCGCTTACCCTTGGCAATATGAAGGTCATCATGTCATTTCTCCTCATAAATATCGTTGCTACAGGCACTGTACCATGCACTTCCAATGGATTACGTGTCAGTAGGCAAGCTTCATGGCAAGCTAGATGGGGAGGCCAGCCAGAACATGGTTTGTAAGTTAATTGAAAAAAATGGTGCAAGACGGATATGTCAAGAATTCAGCCAACCGAAGACTAGGTAACACCTAATCTCTAGCCTCTCGAACTCTATGGTACATTATTTACTTTCTGGTTTAGTCTGTTAGCCAGGAGCAAGTTATGTATTGTTTGCTCAATTCTGTTACAACTGTGAAAGTAGATAACTGAATCAACCTGCCAACTGAGTGTTATTTTCTACATGGATTGTGCAACTGGAACTCAAGTGATTACCTTTTGTCATGTTCACTTATTATATGAAGAACTGTCAACAACTTCTCTTGAACAATATACATATACTGAAACTGTTGCTACTTTAGATGAAAACTAATGATTTTAGGAACTTCAGATACCTCACTCTTATATTTTCAGATTGACCGTTGTCGCCATGTATTGTGCTAATAGAACTAATACTAATCTTTGAGCAAATGACTGATTCACTACTACTGTGCACTACCATCTTATGGCATATGTCACTCTATTTTACAGGCAAAGTTGTCATTCATTCTGAAGTCACCAACAGAAAGCTCCTTGAGATAAAAAGGATTCTGGAAATCGATATAGCTGAACAAATGGTACCATTGGCCGTTTTGGTTTGATGCCAAAAGCATACCCTACCAATTTATTGGCAAATTGAATAGTTTGTGTGTTAGTTTGGATTGTGACCAAATATTTGGTAGTGCCCCTAAAATATTAGGTCATATTCTAGAAGTTTCTTCACTATGCTATAAGAATTTGGCTTTAAATTGGTAGCAATCCAAATGTTAGCTAAATAATTTTACCCTACCAATATTTTGATAGTGCCAAAATTGGCCTAGACTTTTGGCACTACCAATGAATTGGTAGGGTAAAGAACCAAACAAGCCCCATAATCATTTCTAACAGCACCAAATATTTATCTACTAATTCTGTCCATTCCACAACAGTCATTTTATTCATGGTTAATCTGAAACTCTGCTTCATCATTTAGGCCATTGATACCAATGCTGAAGCTGGCGAGCCTGAGCGCAAAGACCACCTGAGTGGTAATGGCAACAATAATCCTCATCTCCATGGACTTGGCATCTGTCTCTGCTATAGTACTAACATGACATTGTCCAATGTCTCTCTTTATAGGCCATGAAATGAGAGATGGCTCAACGATGGGTTGCCTCCAGTCCGTCGGATCTGACCTCACCCGCACCCGGGAGCTTCCGGAGCCGCAGCAAAACTTGTCCATGCAGAGCGAGCAGGGAGCTTCCACGGTGGATAAGGGACCCAAGCAGGACTCCAACAAGCGTGCGCGAGGTATAACGGAAACCTGATCCCCTACTACCCACAGACTGACTGACGATTCGGAGCCATACAGGAGTCCGAATCTGGTAAAATCAGAGACAAACGTACTTTCTCAGTCAAAAAAAAAAAAAAAGAGAAGGCAAACTCTCGCTATGTATCTGGAGCTAGAGCCTAGAGTTTGTCTTTTTTTTTTTTGGACGAAGAGAGTAAAGCTTAAGGTGAGATAACTGATAAACTGCCCTCACCGCCCACAAGTATTAGGGGCGTTTATGAAAAACGTGTAGGAGTTGCGTGTCCTACATGTATACCCTCATCGCCCATACCTAGTTGACAAAACCGGACATGAGGGGACCGTGTTCGCAAGGGAAACAACGTCATGCAGGAGCCGGTTGCCCTTGCCACTCATACCCAGTTGACAAAACCGGACACGAGGGGACCGTGTTCGCAAGGGGAGCCGGTTGCCCTTGCCACTCATACCCAGTTGATAAAACCAGACACGAGGGGACCGTGTTCGCAAGGGGAGCCGGTTGCCCTTGCCACTCATACCCAGTTGACAAAACCGGACACGAGGGGACCGTGTTCGCAAGGGGAGCCGGTTGGCCTTGCCACTCATACCCAGTTGATAAAACCGGACACGAGGGGACCGTGTTCGCAAGAGGAACAACGTTATGCAGGAGCCGGTTCCCCTCGCCCAATCCAGGAGCACTGCTCCATACAAAGTAACGTGCCAGCAAAAATCCAAAAAAGGGAGAAAACCTGTATGGGTAGGAGGGTTAAAAAGGGAGAAAACCTGTGTGGGTAGGAGGAGGAGGGTTATTAATTCATGATTCCGTTACGGAATTAGCAGGTGTATAGCGACCAGCCGTGCCAAAGCATCTGTCTAGAACAAGCAGCCAGAACAAACACAAAATTTGAGTAGACATCATCTTACAAGAACACTTCGGCCTTCGATAGGCATTTTAATGGGAGGCAAATTGTTTACTCTTGTTCTTAGTTCATGGATCCTACATCAAGTAAACCGAGAATATCAGGCACATTTTCTTAAATGGAAGAAGAAAACATTGTCAACCCCAAAATTCAGCCAGCTGCATTTGAGTGACGCAGCATCAGGATAGACGGTCTGACAGCATTCAACACCAATGACACCAAGTAGATGATCACCTATCTAGCCATTGCAAATATGACCAGAAAGCAATCCCAAGCAGTAGCTACAGCGCCAACAATGCTTCAATTTTTGCAATCTGCTCTTCTTCGGTCTTAGGAGTAGGGCTTCTATTTGTTTGTTCATAAAGGTCATGCTTCCATTTTTCTGCTTGATCACCAGCAGCCTGGTGCATGCTGTTTCGCCCATCATATGAGTTGTTAAACCTGTATCTGCCCCTTCCTCTACCAGCAAAACGCCCCCATGAATCATAGCCATTTCTTTGGCCAGCATTCCTGTGATCAGAAAATCCCCTCCTCATACCTTGACCATCTGGCCTTACGAAAGGTCCCTCATGCCTATCAAATCCCCGTGGGTGATAATTTCTCCTTTCTTCTCCTATTGCAGAGGTAGGCCCAGCTTGATCATGTTTATGTGACCTTGAATCTGGTTCTGTAACAGAAAGCACAGATTCTTTCCCCTCCAGTGGCATGCCCATCTCATTAAATGGTGGCCTTCTTTTGGCAGGGTGAGCTTCTTCCTCCAACTGGAAGAACCCATCATGCTTCCATGTAGATTCACCATCATTTTGTTGTTCATCCTGCATAGCCTTTCCTTCATCTTTGTTTTTCTCTCTATCTCCAACATGCTCCTTTTCATCCCTTTGTCTTCCCCGGTCTTTAAAAAACAATAATAAGCAAACGCAAATGAGGGAAGCTGAAAAATAAATAAGGGCAGAACATAAAAACCAAGTAGGCAACTCACCACTAGCCTGGCGGTAATAGCACCGACCACCTTGCCCAGCACTGCCACGTTCATCGTGCTGTACATACAAGCATAAGTAGCCTAATGTTGTCAAATACAGTGGGCACTTGTAGGTATATGCCATAAACAAAGTCCCACAACAACACAAGGTATATATTACTCATGCATATTGAGCTGACGCCAAAGACATAACAACAAACCAATATCCTCGCTGCATATTTTTGAACTTCGCAACACTATGAGAAAACAAACATTAACATGACAGCCATTGCAATAATAAATAAAAAAAGGACCCAGGAAACAGTAAATTTAACCAAAATCATATGCAACTACTTAAAATTGGAAAATATTACAAGAAAGTACTCCCCACAGCCTACAAAATGTATAAAGAAGGAGATCAAGATGTCAATTCGTTTTAGTACAACAATACAAGATCAATTACAATGTTAGCTACCACCACCACTACCCAAAAAAGAAATATATGATTTAGAGATAAATTAGTTGTTGCTTTTTCTAGAGGAATTACTTACTACTTAGGAAAGAACATCTGTTTAAGCTCATTCTGTGTAAACCTAAATCACAATATGGAGGAACAGCTAGCAGACCATGGATCTAACTAATATATACACTTGACTCTAATAGAAGAAAAATGTAACATTGAAATAGAAGAACAATATATATATATATATATATATATATATATATATATATATATATATATATATATTGGCATATTGCTACATACTCTACAAACAAACACAGGAAGTAACTTGTGACACCCAATATTTCAGTTAGTGGTGATCACTTGTTTAGACAATACTATATTGGATATGTGAACTAAATATAGAAATTAAATGAATTGGCTATTGTGCAAGCTTGCATATTTTTTAAAAGGGCAACAGAAAGATATTATATAAGTAGAACCAGCATTTATAATTGTTACTGTCTGGGCATACGTATGCAAACATACAAAGCCAGGCTAGTTTGGTCTACTAGAACTTCCATTTTGTCTCTTTCCCACCCATATCTCATTTTCGATCATTGGTATCCTGTGTGAATATGTCGCAATGAAGCACTCGAGAGCCAAGAAACACCACATTTTTCACAATTTCCCATGGTTTCTCAGAAGAAACCCGACATATCATATACACTATTGTTTGCACATTGTAGCACCAGCAGCTGGGACCAATGGATTCATGGCTTTTAACTAAAGCTAGCTACAAATGCTACATTCGGCAAAGCTAGTAGGGTTGCAGAACCAAGAACCATCCTGCTTACACTGAAAGTAGCTACCAAGCACACGGTTAACAGCTACCAAACAATTGGAAGCAAAGAGTGTAGTCCCTTGATGCACATTTGAGAAAAAGACAAGAACCTGAAAGAACGATCGAGGCCGCCTAGCATCTCTTGATTCAGGAAACCGTTTGGTTCCCCTAGGAGATCTCTCATGCCTGGCAGGAGAGCCATTTCTGGCATCATCTAGGGGCTTCGTCTCCGCTCGCAAAGGATCATCGGGCTGCGCGGCATCTTGCAATGGCCTATCCCTCTTCTGGTCACGGTCAACTGCCTTAGCACTTTCTTCAGCTCGACTCCTGTGGCGATGACTTCTGTCTGATTCATGATGCCTCCTGTCCTCTCTTCTCCTCCTCGGACTACCAACAGGAATCCCCGATGAAAAAAATGGGTTAGTAAGCGCACAGATTGCATCGTCCAACAAGTATGGAACGCAAATTGGACACTGCAATCAACAAATCCCAAACCCCCAATTCTCCTAGCTCGAACCGGAACCCGACCAGATCGAGAGAGCGGCGGGGGATTCGCTGCGGGATTGGTTGGTACTACCTGGGATCGTCCCGCCGCGACCTGGACGAGGAGTGGGGGCGCCTCCCGTGCGTGTGGTCGCGCTCCCGCTCCCGCCGAGACGCGTCGTGCTCGTCGCGCTCTCGCCCCTCCCGCCGAGACGCCTGCTGCGACTCCCCCGTCGCCATTTGCGCCTTCTTCTTCTTCTTCCTCTTCTCCCCTTTCCCACCGCCTTCTCCACCCACACAGGCTAGCCTCCCTAGCCGCTTGCGGTGCGCGAGCTAGGGTTTTTACCCTGAACCAGATGCGGAGAAACCGGTCGGGCTCGACCACCCGACCGCGCCAGCGGCGAGCGGCTCTGGACCGGGTGGCTTTAAGATTCGTGCACCGGTCGGAGACAGCACGAAATCCGTCGCGTCAAAACGGGGCTCAGCGACGCAGGCAAAACCCAGAACCCTAGCCTCCTCCTTCGCCGCTCTCCTCGCGCTCCCATGGAGACGGCGACCGCGACCCCAGGCGCGGCGAGGAAGCGGCGGCGGCGGCGGCGGCGGAGCCAGTCGCCGCCTCCCGCCGGAGAGGGGCCGAGCGAGCCCAAGTTATCCAAGCTTCGTTTCGGTTGCGGCGGCGGCGGCGGCGGCGGCGGCGGCACGAGGAGTGGCTGGGAAAACCTCGACCTCGTGCTCTCGCTCCAGGGCAAGGAGCTCTCCCTCGAAAGGTCGTTCTCTTGCTCCTCCCGCTTGCGAGTCGATGCAACATAGTGCTCATGTAACTCTATTATGATCCGGATTGCAGGAATTAGTTGGTAATTTCTATGATTCTAGTCTGATTATGTAGATAACTCGGTTGATGTGGGCTGGAAGTGTTTGTTTACTGCTGCAAGTGTCTGGACGAGCACATATACCTGATTTAGTTCATATAGGATTGCGTAACTCATAAGAGATGCTGTTCCATTGTAGCTTGGATTTCAAGGTGTTAGTTGTTTACATGTCTCCTCATTGGATCAATGTTGACTTGACCTAGTAACATAGAAAAATGTGCGCTTTGATTTAGGTCAAAATGACAGTTTATAGTCATTTTCTTATGTTTCAAAAGAATTAGCGCAAATAAAACTGGACGAACTTTTTGTACTGTATATTTTTATGACCTCAAATCATCAACAGAATCTGCTTAGCTTATGTATTCCAGTTCCTCTTTTATTGGTGGATGGGCATGCTTGTTAAACCATTTATGGATGAAAGTTATTATGCTTGTCCAGTTTGGGAACTTGACAGTTTGTTGTTACATCACGCAGAAAGATTGAGCTAACCTTCAATTTTACAAGCACAGAGTCAAATTGGTCAAACCATGGCCGTAGACTAGACATCGTGCAGTTACTACGAGCTGTATCATTTATTGGAAACTGGGTGCAGTCTATCTTAATTTTGCCTGAGAACAGTAAGAAAACGTCAGAACCTTTTGATCCTGTGCTAGATTATAGATGCTGGGCCATTTTAAGAGTTTGCATTGAAAAGAAGCCATCCATCTCCATTTCCCCAAACGTACTTAAATCGCTTGGTCGTGTTGCAAGGAATGGTTTGAGCAGAGTTGATACTGGTGCTTTATATGATGACAAGGAATCTTTTGATCTCTTTGGACACGTTTTAGGGTGCATGTCCTCGGTGTTCTCCATCAATACAAGAACCTTCTTCAATGCAGGTGTTGATTCGTGGGCTTCTTGTGCCATAGATGTTATCAGCCTTGCCCAGAAGGTTTCACATAATGAGAGGAATGGCTGTACTGTTCTTTGGAACCTTGGAAATTGTCTGTTTGAGCAATTTTCAAGCTTTCTGAGATTCTATGCAAATCCTAAGAATATTTTCCGCACTTTTGTTGATAGGATTCTTGACCCTCTGTTGGAGTTGTTGGTTTTGCTTAATTCACAAGTGAATTCCCTCACGCACAAGCAGGACAGAACCATGTTGAAGGTTGTTGAAGAAATTTTGTCCAATGGATTGTTTCACCCCCAACATCTCAGTGGATATTTTGGCCTCAAGAATTTGAATAAATCATCTACTTCCAGGGATGTCATAGGAAGCTACCATAGGCATCTATTTGAGAGATTCAAAGCAATAAAAGCAGAAAACAAGTCAGTGATGCTGGCTGGGTTTGGCTACTTGCTTCAGTTGTTTGTTAGAAGATCTGGAAATCAGAGAGCCTCTCTAGGACCCAGGGAAACAAGCTTGCAGAAAAGTAGTGAGGGCTCTGAAGAACCTCATCATCACAGGGAATCACTTTTTGAAGTGTTTATGCAGTTTATGGAACCATTGATTTTAGAGTGTAAGTCATATTCGGAGAAGAACTTTTCTAATTTAGGGGTCACAAAGCTAGTAGAAGTTCATTGTATGTTGAAGTCCATCAACAAGGTATTGACAACAGTTATTGAAGAGAAAATCTATGTACCTACAGAGGACACATCGGAAGGATCTTACTTTGAGTTCTTGCAAGATATTTACAGGGTCTTAGTCTCAATGGCCGAAAAAATGTATGAATTCTGGGTGTCAGCTGTGCATTTGGAAGATGCAAACGTTAAGAAGATGCTACCTTTAATGTTTGCTGAGATTGTCGATGCAGTTGGTCATTTGTTAGATATTGAATACAAGGTCATGGGGCGGGACCTTGTAAAATTATGGTTAATGATATTTGCTTTGTCAGCTACTAATGCATCTTCCAAGGACATTAAACCCTGCTTCCTGCTAGCCTCAAAGATTTCTGGCCTTTCATCCCAAGTGATTTGCACATTCAGTGAGCTTCGTCAGGTTGGTTATACAACTTTTCAGAAGTTCTTTATGTTCTTATACTCTGCTTTGTGGTCCTTAATTGCCTATAGACCTCAATTCTATATTTGAATTATCTAAATATCTTTGCAGACTGCCATGTTCATTAGGTTGGTTTGTTGATTTTCAGTATGATGCTCTCTCTCCGTTGACCTTATTAATTATTATGTAGGTTTCCTTCTCCATTTTTACATTGTGCGGTGCTGTGAGAACATTCAGAGCTGCTGTTGGTACTGGTGTTGCAGCGAGTTCATTTTCTGTGTCTTCGTTATCCTCAGATAAATGTTTGGAATCACTAGCAGCATTGTTAAGTTCCCAGACATTGAGGGATGCTATTCGTACTTCAATAAACTCAATGCCAGAAGGACAGTCTAGTCGTTGCATTGAGGAGCTAACATTAGACCTTACAGGTACATTGAAGTGGATGAGAACTTGTGGCCTTTTGGATGTTAAATTGGAAGTGCAGGGGGAATCATCCTTGGTTACAAGGGATTCAGTGTTTGGTCAGAGAGCTGAACTTCTAGGAAGGCATTTATCGGAAATATACACAAATGTGCTCGAGTCAATAACTGTGACCACATCAAATAGTACACTCGTTGCAAAATCTGTTGAAAGGTTGGTTGATGCAATCAGACCAAATTTATGTCATTTGGTGAGAAATGAATCAAATAGTTCAAGTGAGTTTGTTTACTCAGTTATAGGAAAGCATATCTCTAACAAACAAGGTGCCAACTGGCAGAAGATCCCAAGTTTATCTTGGCTTTATGTCTTCTTTTTTCGCATATATATGTCATGTAGAAGTTTGTATCTGCAATCTATTGGCCTCATGCCTCCTGATTCAGCGATAGAAGCAACAGAACTAGTGGGGAATTCATTCGTTGTATGCTGCGGGAAGGAATGGACCAATTCAGCCAATATTCTCGCAGAAGGCTACTTTGCTTGGATTGTCCAAAATTCATTCCCTCTTTTTGATGCTATCGAGATTTTAACACAATCTCTTTCGAGAAATTGTTCTGGGTTTACTCTGCTTGTTTTCATCCTTCATGTGATGGCTCTGCAGAGACTAAATGACCTTAACAGGCAGATTAATGCTTTTGATTTTTTGCTTGAAGATGATACAGATCAATTTGACAAGGAGAATAGTGAAGGCACTGAGTTATTAAAGAAGTCTAGCTGTCTCGAGGCCACACAACTCACCAGTTTTATGATGAGCTATGTGAGACTATTATCATCAGGAGAAACCGGCTCTTTTTGGTGTTATGAGATTAGTTCTTCCTGGGATTCAAGTCTATGCTCTTTAGATGAATTTTCATTTCCTATAGCAACTTGGCAACTGCTGTGTGAAAACATTGATATTTGGAGCCCCCATGCATCTAAAAAGGATTTGAAGAACTTCTTTTCTAATCTGATAAAGTTTGCTTTTGTTGAAAAGAGGTCATGCAAAGATGTGGAGAATAGTGGCAGCCAATCTTCTCACCGAGAAATTACTCTTTGTAATGTTTCAGTGCAGCTCCTTTGTGATACTATTATTTATGACCGAAAGGTATGTCCTCTCTTAATCCTTCCATCCAAAGATAATATAGTACCATTTATCTATGATTTATTGAGTATGATGACAATATTGATGTGCTGTAATAATGATCAATGTTAGTCTTTAGTTCTATGTTTTGGTGATTTCTTTCTTGTGCCCTCTCCAAATTGCTTGGTCTAATGCAAACTTACAACTTCTTAGGTTCTGTTGAAGAATTTGGTGTCAGGTTTTTGCCATGCTCTGAAGAAATCGGTATTGTCTTTTGTTACTGATGCTAATGAAGATAATGACTTGTTGGACTCGCCACCTGATTTGGTGGATATATTAACTAAACTGGAAAATGAGAAGTTTTTTAGTACAAATTCTGATGTTACACACACAAATGGCATAGATAAACTATGGATTTGTGAGAATTTACTTAATTTTTTTAGTACAGTTCCTGGATTTCATGCAAACTCCAAGTCATTGTTGCAACTTATAGCTTACATTCTCCATCTGGAAAGGTAAGTTCGCATTTTATATTTTTGTTCATGTGTACTAACTACAATGGCTATTCCTTGTATAATCATAGTACAAATGTATGCACGCCCTTTGTTTATAAGTACTAGGCACTTTTGACTGAGAGTAGTTCACAAATAGTTATCACTTGTTAATTTCCCCAATGCATAATTTTTCATGCTATGCTCTATATCATTGCCGTTAATTATTTGTCTCATGGCAGTAATTGGAGGGCACAAATGTGAAACACTTGAGACTTGAGAGAAAGTGTCCAATGTTTATTTGTTCTTATGAAGATCTTGGTGGTCTTTTTAGTTGAACTTCTTGTTTATTACAACTTAATTTCTTTCTTTGTAAATAATTGTTTCTCTGGGTTATTTCTAGTGGATTTTGTGTTGTCTTTATTGATATTGGGGTTCTCTAG